TGGCGACGATTGTCTTCCCGTCTGCGGTCTAGATGTCCGCCAACTTAAATGCTGCACTATAACATCTCCAGTGTGGGAGCAAAAATTGTCCTCAGTCTCAGGTTAGAAGCACAGTCGGTCATCAATGCTCGTGGACGAACACGAAATTTATCAAGCGCCCACAATTGCTATTTTGCTTGGGTTTCTACTCTACGCGTCCATCCTCCCTGACAATCGGGTGGCGACCACTATTTTCACTCAAGGCTGGTGTTGGGCTACGATTAACTTCGTCCTCCTTGAGACCTAGAAGCTGCATGTAGGGGTTCTTTATATCGCGTACCAAGCCCGACTATTAATAATGTTTGTCTACTTTATATGGGATGATTATCACCTTGAAGTGAAGCCGAAATTGCGCAGAATGCCGCATCCCACCAGATGTAATGTTTTGGCGTTCGCTGGGCCATGGTGATCAGATAACAGCCGAAATCATTGCTTAGAATCTGAGTTGTGCCGCGTCTATCTCAGGGTACTAGACAACCGCAACCAACGAACGCGCATCAACCCTTGTTTTATATCCTTCATGCGAACTACTCCTTGATATGCGTTTGTACTTCGAAACGCCACAAGGCATTACGCTACATCACCAGCTACGTTTTCACTTACCTTCCAACTCTGGTTACTCTTATCCAATTAATTTAATACAAAATGTTAAATTATACCCATGGAAAGCAAGAACGCAAGTTTGCGAAGAGTATTCTTTGCGGCAAATCTCTTCAGGCATCTACAACTATAAAATGCAATGTTAGAGCACAAACAGCTGATGATGCAAAAACGTGGTCTAGTGGAACCACGACAGTCAGAAACTCAAACGTATTGATTACTAAAGTCGTCTATCCTCTCAGGTGACATACCACGTGTTGGTTGATCGGTGCAAGACCAAGCGCATCACCCCAAAACTGTCAGCACACGAAGTGACAGATGTTGGAAAACTATTTACGGACAAGCTAGAAGCAACTCTTGCAACAAGGCTTTCTGTTTGCAAACTTCCGGCTGTATTATCCTAATTGCGATCGTCTTGCTCATCGTTAAGATTTGTTTCCTAAGCCTTTGGGATACCGTTTCGTCACGACATAAAAGCGCTTTAAAGGCATCAAGGGTCTTAATTTGCTTTCTGTTTTCGACCAGATGTTCCGGAATGGAACTGTTGGTGCGACTGATGATACCTTTTCGCAAAGCCGCTGGGCAGTGTTTGGTGGCGTTTAGACGGACGCTTGATTGTGTGTCGAACGTACTTCACACCACAGGTGCAGGTAATCTGATATCAAATGTGGGTTTGGGACTGAACTAGAAATCTGTCTTTGAGACGTTGGACCATTAAGAGAGTGGTTTCTGCAAGGACGTGTGGATAGGCGGCCGGGAAGGCTCGTGCTACTGCAGTGGAAATTTTTCTGCTCAGCAGATCAAAGGGAATATCGCCTTTGGAGGAAACTGATAGATACTCGTCCTTCTTAAGAACAGCTATAATCAATTCATGGCTATCACGGATCACTGCGTACATTCTGATGAACGGAGCTTGGTAACCGTTTTCTTACACTGTTTTGAGAATACGGATCTTTTCAGCCTCTAGCGTCTCTTTCTGCAACTGTTCGTAGCACGAAAATACAAGCAGCGAACAAGATTGCGTTTGTACCTCAAGGGTACAAGGATTAGAAATGTGTATATTAGCCACCCCTTGTGGTCTTCCGAAATGCGCCTCTTCCTAATGAACTGTCATTTTTTCAGCTCAGCAACACGTCCAAGTAGGCTAGTTTACCATCTTTTTCGCTTTCGATAGTGAATTCCAACGGTGGATGAACACTGTTTAACTGGCTTAACATGTTGGAGACATCCGGTCTAGAGTCGCACATTATAAACATATTATTCATGTACCGAGAGTAGAACACGAAGGAAATGATGATGGGTCGTATAGGTTCACGTTCAACCATAGCGAGGAAAATGTCAGCAAGGGGGGACCCCATCGCAACACTGTCTGTAGTAAACTCTACCAAACAAACATTGCCTATGCATCATAAAATTAATTCCTTCAATTCCCTCAGTGGAATACCCACGTCTATGTTTTTTTCCTTTAAGTAATCGCATACAAAATTGACGGTTCCCATCAATGGAACATTCGTGAAAAGTGACTCAACGTCCAGAAAGAGCATCAATTTGTCATTTACTTTCGTGCATTTTACTCGTTTCACATATTCAAATTTCTTTCACTGTATATGTGCATAATTCCTTGCGTACTGCTTCAAACAAACCCACAAGTCATTTTACAACCGAGCGAGTAGGCGAGGCTGGCATGTCAATTATCGAACACAGAAAGGCTTGTGGTTTATGTACTTTAGGTACCGCATAAAGACATGCAGGATCGGAACCCGCTAGTGTTTTCTGTTCCAGTAGCGCACTATTTATTTGGTTCATACGCTTCAGCTTCTTCAACATTTTTACGATTTTAAGCTCATCGTGCGCGGTTTTACCTTTTGTATCGTTTCACTATTGTCGTGCAAAATGGACTGCAAATCAGGATTTGATCCCAATTCCTTGTTGGCTTTTCTGTGTTTCTCAGCCAGGACTCTAGAAGAGTTGGTCGTGCAACTCATATACTGCTGCGAAAGGTGGACCAAGGTGGTTCTGAAGGTATCTTTGACAAGTGACGATGTGGGTGTCAGCTCGTTTAACTGTCGCATCAACTTTTCAAACTGGGTCTCCAGATGGATTTTTCACAATGTGCCTGAGACACGCAAAATCTTATTCCGAGTGCCAATGTCCCAACTTACGGCTGATTCAGCCCCAGGCTGAATAGATTGTGGACATATCTTTCCGGCGGAGTTGGACCTAAACCTTTAGGCAGTTTTGTGCACCACTTCTCTTCCACCTTAGCACGCACTTCTTAGACGAATTGACTAAAAGCATCGCGCTGAATCGCATCGACCTCTTCTACGCTTTAATCCTAATGTGAACATAGTTGTTTTAGCTCATGGAGTTCTGACTCATGTGCATGGCGCTTAAAAGACATGACACCGCTTCATCGCTTTCCAACATACCTTGGGATATTGGTTGCGCTGTAGGCAGTCTCGTATGAATCTGATATCCGTCTTTGCATCTGCAAGCCTGGCGTTAAACTTCAGACAGTTGTTGATCACTGAACGCCTTTGGTTGCTTGCTCTTTTTAACTCTAAATTATACCTATGGAAAATCAATCGAAGTATGTGATCTATTTCACGGGAATTTGTTTCTGTACATTCTTACCTGTCCAATACTTCTTTTTTGCATTCGTGGCTACGGATCGCTGTTCACTGATACCAAAGGGTTTCTCATGAGTTCGTGCCTTTCACAGTCTGTCCACATGGTCTGATCAATTTCCGTTTGTGCGCCATTATTTTCGCACCGCGACATCATGTCCTGTTCTTTCTTTTTCCTTAGTTCTTATTTTTAACCGTATTAATCTAGTTGCCAGGTCCTACTTCGTCACATAGTTGCATGAAGCCATTGGTTTTGAGGAAGGCGACTGTTAATAACGAGGAAAACAGAAATACAAGGAAACTATTTATTGGGAGACTTGTTGTTGCAGATGTATGGATGGTCCCCACCAATTCCATATCTGCGCCAGACTAAGACCATGCAGAAGCCTATCAGTGGGTGTACGACACGCGTCACGGGGAACAGCTGCATACGCGAAATTAATGTAAGAGATTTTTCCAAGCTACTATATGGCAATCGATTACAATGTGTCCTTTTACTGGCGCTGCTTATGCTCCCACTAACTGTGAACCAGTTACCATATATGGTGTAATCTTTGCACAGCTTCGGTCTTTGACTGGACTTTGAAAATATTTTCATAGGGTTGGTGTTGTTGCTCCATCGCGATGAGACTGGACCTTACCGTGATGCGATGGTTTGCGTGCCTCAGCGACCCATTGAGCTATGCTGGGAGGTGGTGTTTGCACCTTCAGAGTCACTCATACCACATTCGTCAATGGTTTGATGCCAGGCAAACTCAGTCTCCCGGTCCTCCAACTTGGGATTGTAATGTGCGTGACCCCTTAAAACGGTCTCCTTATAGTCCACTGCTAAACCGGATGCCTTGCGGTTACGGTTCTGAACCAAAAGCTTTGGTTGAGAGCCCTAATCGTCTAAGCTTAGGCAACCTGACAGTATCCTGCTCACGCAATACTAGGAGTCTTTCCTCAAACTATTTCCTAAGGCCCTAGCCATCGCAGGAGATAATCAACGGCCCCCCACCAGCTGTATCGATCTGGGTGGATAGGGGTTTTTGATGCCACTGCTAAAGCCTCCCCTTCTTCTTATCCCCCTCTTACGCTTTTTCACCCTATCGTCCCGTTCCAACTTCACTTTTATCCTTCCCTCCCCATTTTAAATCCCCAATTCTCGGCCCTTCCCTACCATGCTTTGATAGGCGTTTATCTTCCAGTTTCAACACACGCAAACGCGGAGCGTCGCTCTTGCCCTATTGACAAGCCCATGTCTAACCAAGCGGTCAAGTCTAGTTCATCGGCTTCTATTTGGAGCCCCCGACTCTCCCTTAAATTTGCATCCCTTCAACATACGCACATTGTTACAGATCGGTCAACAAGCATCATTTGCTCGAACAATAGAGACCCTCTCGGTCGATATTTGTTGTTTCTCGGAAACAAGACCCGAGCTCTGCCACCCCCTCCAGGTGACACTAGCAGTGCTTTCTCATTGTGCCTATCCGGTGACGATGCAGCTTTGAGTATCGACCAAGCCGGTTTTGGTATTGCCCTGAGTCCTCTGGCCGAAGCTACTCTGTTTACTTGGATCCCGATTAGTAGCCGGATGTGTGTGTTCCCATTGACTGGCTCGTCGGTAGTTTGTGGTGCCAATTGGTGACAGACTTGCCTAGTTTTTATGCTCCGTTTTATCCTCGTTTTGGTTAACTATCTTCTATGCTTTTATGCCTCAGTTTGTTTACTATTTGCCTTATTCCTCGCCAGAACATTCGCTGACCCTACCGCGTAAACTCAGTTTCGGATCATCGGCACATTTCACGACAGTCCACAACCCCCACCCACCGTTGACTGACAAGCACCCTCAGTGCTCGGGGGACTCCATCAACATGAGGCGTTCGGTAGTTGGGTCAAGCCACGGGCACCTCGATACCATTACGTCAAACAATTCGACCAGCCGTGCTCCGTCATCCAAAGCCCAATCAATCTCCATCTCACCGCACGTAATCCTTGTACGTGGGCACAAGTTGCATCATATTCGATTTCCACGCATGGCTGTTTGTGATCTCTGCCGCAAAGCATGTTGGCAGTTGGTATCCCCACCACCAGCGTTCCAGTGCATACTTTGCCAGGTTGGTACTGTGCTTAACTCTGTTGTATCTTTGTGTTTCTTCACCGTTTCTCGCCTTATTCATGTCCTTGCGAATAAGTATGGTTTTTGCACAGCCGAATCGTACACACTTCACGCAACTGTGCAGTGAAAGTACTTCTGCATTACTAACTGACTTTGGCACTTTGCAAGGAACTGTCTCGCAATTTTCCTCTAGTGATAAGCATTGGCCAACGCGACTTATTAACTTGAGGATGGACGCTTCGGCTCACATCCCAACAATCCCGCAATCGAGTCACCCTCCTCCTGACGAGTGTAGATGAACACGAAACTGATCTTTGAAGTCAACGCTGCATGCTTCAGTTACAGTCCCAGATTCTCAACTGAGGGGAGTCCATGTCAAACTGAATAGCAACATAGATTGAGACTGCGTGTGGTAATCCATTTTGTTAGTGCTTTGTCAAAATAAAACGCTTTATTTTCTAGTACTACGTATCACACTTCCTTTTTCCAGTTTATACCACGCTTACGTGTCAATCTACACGTTGCATTTCCGTATCTTTGAGTGGGTATGCATTCGTTCTTCGTTTTTTTGACAGCGTATTTTTACCCGTGCTACATCTTAGTGTATCCTCACCAATACTGGTGTACAAAACTTAGCTTTATTTGATATCAGAGACCCATTCTTTGTCATATTATAGTTTGCAACGCTTTGAATCTTCCTTCTCCTGAGTGTTCCCCTGCAACCACACACATCGCGACTCTGTCATTGTAATACGGTGCACATCGAGTTATCGTTAGAGGAGCGCACACCGAATTTCGGTGACACTCATTTCGCGGCAGAGTGCCTATCCTAGAATTATGAATCACTCAGAAGTCAACTGCTAATTGGGACCTAAGGTATGTGTACGTTTCCTACTTTACAATGACCAAAAGTTCCGAAACTAAGTAAAGCAATGTTGAATGTCAACCTGTGCACACAATCGGTAATATCGTGCGTCCATGACACCGACTAACGCAGTTGGTCGGCTGTGACATGCACACTCAGGGGATTGTGGTAATCAGTTTCCATCGAAGCGCTTGCTGCTCTCTAACTAAGCACCGGAGTGTCAGCTGGGCCTTTCAGTAACGAGGAAGTGATTTTCTGGGGAATTTTATTCATAATTCACAATGTCATAGCGTTTGACTTCCAGAAACGAAAATTCTTACTCCATCGGTGACTTTTGCACACAACCTTCTACTTTCTTCGGTTGTCACTTCACTACAATCCACTGTCGCTATGTGCAATGCCTCCTCATTACCACCTTCGACTCCAGTAGCTGTACCACGTTTGCAACTAGGTCACTCAGTCTTCTGAGTTTAGTCATGGACGCGAAACATGCTTTTTGTTGCCCTTTAAACCTACTAACAATTGAATCACCGTCAGGAGGATAAGCCGATCTTTTCAAAGTGACTCCTGACCGAGTCTATTAAATCTCCTGTTTTCCATCACTGTGTTTTGCCAAGATGATCGTTCGGTTTTTCTGCTTCAACTGCTCTCGGTGTTAGATCTCCCCTTTCCTATGCGATTCCGCAAGAACCGCTATCGCTCATCGTATGTCCCCAATTCCAGAATCTCCAAATTTTAAAACACCTAGGCAGCTGCCGGAATTAGCAGTGTAGTTTCGTTCGAACAGTGATGTTAGTGTGTGCATCATGTAATGGACTCGAATCTTTTTACAACTGTATGACATTCCAATTGTACACCATTGCTTCAAATCGTTTTCTCATTAAAATAACTATTCTTCCTGAGAGATTTTACTTCCGGACTCTCTTTCAATTTTCCACGCATTGAGGCTCTAATTTATCTCCCTTTAAAATCTTCGCTACCTGTCAACAGTAACACCACGTATTAAGGTTACATTTCTCAATAACACCCTCCTTCCATGTCATACCCAATTGGATGGAATGGTTGGTGCCCATATGGAAGGCGCAGGCTCATCGAATCTGCACTGTTTTTTGGACTCAAAAGACTACGTTCAACCGAAGTAGGTCTTTCGAACAGTCTCGACTAACTCTACCGGTCATCGGTTAAACGGTCTGCCAGTTGCTATGTCATTCGTAGTTATCTGTAATGGGTGTCCAGACAAGATCGACTGTTCATGAAATGCATGGCCGATAGGTTCGTTCAGGGGGTGTTACCATATGACATTACATCTCAGTGGCCATGATTGCGGTACCGTTGTTTCAAGTACCACCGGCTCTGAATCATTGTATAATGAAATAAATCGTTTAATCGCTCCATCCATCCAGCAGCGCAGTGCTAACTTAGACCACCCTTGAGACGTATCTCAGCCTGTGCAGGTAAAGGAGCATACTAAGTCGAATCGGCCAAAGCAGATGCCGTACACAAATGACCATTTTGATTATTATTGGAGGCGAGTTATTCTTTTTGAAACTTTTGTCTTATTAAACCTTTGCTCGCTTTTCATTAGAATCGGACCTTGTCCGTTTGGTGTCCTATAGAGCACTATTTCCTCTGCCATTGGGATGCCATTCGCTGGTTTTTCACAGTCGCGTATCCCATTCTTGTAGTTCCGTTTAGAAGTAGTCCCGATCTCATATATGAAAACTATTTATCAGGACGAGCAAGCACACACAATTGCAACTTTCTAGTCAAACCACACGTTAACTACGGGACGACCGTTGCCTTTTCGCCGAACATCACTTTTACCTTATCTACTGTATATATCTCAGTATTCCAAGATTACGCTGACAGATATTTTGTCAAATCAACTTCCAAGATCACTGAGACCCTTTATTCCACCCAAATTTGAATATTTGTACATATTTGTACATAAAATTCTACGTCAGTTGAAACAGATTCTGAAGAAACATTTGTATTAACACTTTTCCGTTTTCATTGGATACCAATCCCGATGGTTTAGTCCAGAATTTTAGGATTGTTGCTCGATCGATCTATGACAATGCATTATTGTTGTATCCATTTGTAAACTTAACATTTTTACTGGTAACCCTTTGGTAATTTTTTAGTCGATAATGTGAAATGCTGAAAATTCTCCCTTTTGGGCACTTAAAGCTCATACTGACTTGACTTATGCCATTCTCTGACGGTTATAAGCCTTTGGTAGGACATGTCTACCGGTCGAGTGCGTACCTCAATGGGGATGTTTGCGAGCGATTATTCTCACCATCCGGTTAGATGGCCACCAAAGACACAGCACTGTTGTTAGTTCCGGTTCTAGCTCTCCTCACATATCGAAACGCTGTGAAGCCAATGGATGGATATACTGTGTCCTATTTTTTTACACCAATGTGTTAGTTGGAACAATCTGCATCCCTAATCGTATACCTGTATTTGGTTTGGCAAATGCATAACAATCAGCAGACTTTGTTTTACTCTCATCACGTACGCAAGCCTTGTGAAGTAACCGTACATTCCCAGGGCCATATTGATTAATGTCTTTTCATCGTCGTGAATTGAATACTTTGCCTCCCTGGTTTGTTGTCGGTTCTCCTCCTGGCAGAACTATGTTGACCTTGGTTGAGCGCTTAATGGACAAGCTAATCTGCGGCTTGTATAACGTCGGACAAGATCTCTTCCTGGATTCGGCCTACAGAATCTGCCATGCTAATGTTCCCTCACATTCACTCCACCAATGCCACCTGTTGTTTGTTATGCCCAATCACAAAACACCTAAACGTGTTTATTTTTTCAGCACATTCCTACTTTGTTCCATTGTCAACGCCTTTGCTGCAGCGTTAGTGATCGCTAACGCAGGTGACGATTACATTCCAGTATGCCCCAACATGTTACTACCCCGCACGCGCTTACTATCTATCCACATTTCTCTCTGGATCGCGACGGCCGACGCAGAAGTTTGCCTCGATTCCATGTCACTTTGTTGAGTTGAATAATACTATTGATTTAAACGTGTGCATCTATAGCTGGCCATCACGCACGAACGTTACATTTGTCGCAAACTCGCAATAGATTTGTAACCATTTTTGCGTTTTCAATACGCTTACCTGCTTTATTTTTCTCCACTCTCCTTCTCTAGCTCAAATTCCATGCCACTCATTTGAACACTCAAGATTATGCAATACCTGCTTGCGGCAAAGCTATTGTGTCGCTCGTGTTCCGCTGCGCCTCCAGTACGGAGCGGGAGAAGTGGGTCAGGTGTATTCGGGCGGCCATGCAATTCACCAAAATGAACTCACCCGCCGCCAACCCTACCACTGCCACTTCATCCGCGGATTATCATTCTTCAACTGCACATCGCTGTCTTCCACTTGATTCCGATCCAGCAGCCACTACTCATGGTAAGTGATTATCTGAGGTTCTTTTCTGTCAAGATGTTTCATCTCTAATTAGTAGGGTGTAGTGAAGCCTAGACTAGTAGTAGTAAAACCAACGGTCTAATAAATAGACATAGAGCCAAACAAAACCATGGAATTCAGCGGTTGGCAGGTGGAATTGCCGCAGCATCATCGTTATAGCACATTAGTTGAAGGTGGGTAACACCCTTCATTTGTTGTGTCGAAGGAAGAACGGGACTTTATGTTATTTTTTACACGCCAAATTTTTCCCTTCATTTTTTGATTATTAGGCATTGGGTATCTGAATCTAACTAAGTATGTACACATATCTTCCTCTGGTTTCAGTTGCGCGCCATCTCCTGAATTGTTTCAAGCCATCCGCACTCTTCGTACTTAGATCCCTAATTAGGCAGGTGAGGCCTGGACTAATCAGTTCGTGCGAAACGTTAGGATAATTCCAGTCTTGGCATGAGTACCAAACCGTGAATTCCTGTGACCGTCGTTCTGTAGTACTAATAAAAGTAGATGACATCATCATCTCCATCGGTAGCAGTGCATCAGCCATTTGAACTGATGCTTTGCTGACGTACAACCACGGGGGACTATGAAAAGTGGTGATGGATAGAAGAGTGACCTGGTGTAAAATCTTACAGCTCTAAGCAAATATTTATGGTCGCCACGCCTACACCTTGCGTTGACAACATACCGTCACAAACAGCTGGCTATCGTGCAAAAACGGCATCGGCGAGACAGCTTCCTTGCGGCTTTCACTGACCTGCGTCATAATCAGCCATTACCCAGCAGATAACTCAGCAACAAACACACTTTAAACAGGCAGTCTGATTGGGAGACGGCAGCATACGCGCCATTGGTGCTGACTGTGAGCCATGTTTTGAAACATCTTGAGCCAAACAGAAGGTGGGTCACGCGGCTTCCAGTCTGAAAGGTGAGACGGACCAGCATCATCCGGTTTGGTCGTCAGTGATTTAATATCACTTCAAAGTTAACTTTCGCTCACTAACCTAAATCTGGTAAACAAAGCAAGACCCTCCTCGGTAAGCAGTGACGGGGCGTACGTAGTTCGTGTTTAAGCTAACGCAATTTATTCAATTCTATTTGCCCTTCTAAGAAACTAGTTTGATTATCACTGCTTATCATTCGCCTATTGCACCTCATCGTTACAAACACGCTGGTAACATTAGACACCGGCATTGCTCTGTAGGCAACGCTGCTGAAAAATTTGAAAGTGCCTTAGATCCTTGGGCGGATGAGGCCAAATCTCGTTTCTGTACTGGAAGACGGTCCTTACTGTAATCTTTAAGCACGATCTTTCAGACCGAGGGAAAGACACCTCTGACGTCATAGATGTCGAACGTTCAAGATGGCTGTTCTCGCTCATCGCTGCTAAGGTTAATGAAGTTATCAACTACCTCCTCACGATCAAGAATCAAAAGGTGATCAAGGGGCTGTTAGCCATACAACAATACATTATACTCTGAAGGTGCGAAGCTCATGCCAAATGATTAGACTACTCTCATGCAGTTGTTTGATTGGGCAGCCACAACATTGTTAGACAGCGAGACAATATCGTCCGCATAATCACGATCAATTAGTTTCTCACCATGCAACACATTAACGCCTGTCTCGCGCGATTTTGCAATTGAACACCTCATGATGGAGTCCACGACAAAGTTAACCCAAAATGGGAAATTGGACAACCTTGACGAACGCCACTTTTTGTCTCATAGATATCCGACAGATCACCGCAAACCCTGACCCAACATGTGGTTTCCGAGTACAGAGCACATAAAAGGTTCACCTATTTCATGGGAACACCTTTCTACGAAAGTATCCCAAGTAGAACGGATCTATCGACTGATTCGAACACACTTGAAGTTCATCTACGCTGCTACTGTCGGTCTGCGGTATGCGTGGCGCTGCTCGAGCACCTGCCGCAGAGTGAATATGTAGTCTACACAGCCCCGTCCTGGGCGGAAACCTGCCTACTCTTCCCTAATCCGTGATTGTCCCTCCGCAGTGAGGCGACGAACGAGAATGGAGGCCAGTAATTTTGTCACAACTAGCGTTAAGCTAAGACCCCTGTGATTTGCACAGTCTCTTCGGCTGCCCTTTTTGTATATTGCCACTATAATCGATTCGCTCCAGTTAAGTGGGACAGCCTCCTCCTTCTAGACATGTTCGAACAGAGATATCAGTGCTTTGCAGCGGAGATCACCCTCATCCTTAAATAGTGCAAGTGACAGGGAATTCAGGCCAACCGCATGAAAACGGTTGAGGGCTGTGATCGCGTTTCGGACCTCAGCCTCCAATAGTGCCTCTAAACTAACTGGCAAAAGCTCATCCTGCATCACCTGAGCAGGAAGAGGTCCGGAACCAAGCGACCAGCAAGCCATACGGTGCTCTTTATTGTGTATCAGTGCATCCGCGCTGTCTCTGCATGTCACTGACGCCTGGTTTCCTGGGACCATGGGTGCCGATCATCTGGAAGAGCTTGCAATAATTGCCTACTGATCCCGCCTCCTCCATTTTTTGAGCCCGACTGGCCCACCAGGCTTCCTTGTCAGCACGTAGACTGCACTTTAGTTTGCGCCTAATAGTTCGTCTGCCCACATTGTGCTCAGAGTCAGACGGGAGGTTGCTTCTGGATTCCAGCAGGTTCACCAACCTCTCGGATATCCAGTGACTGGTGCGGTGACGATTTCTAGTGCCACATGCAGATTCTCCTGCGTCATGCATGGCGGCCGAGATCATATTCCACTGAACCTTAGCGTCATTAAGGTGGGAGTGTGAAAGTTCGATACGCTTGCCTGACCGAGGGATGAGATAACTTCTCAGTTTTCACTCGAGCGAGGTGTTTTGTATACTTCCCGTTAAATGCTATGGAAAAGCGATAGCGTATCGAACCGTGATCAGCATCGACTTAGGTTTTCCAGAACGAACGGTATGTCCTTGTTCCTCACAAGCCAAGTCTATGGGGTTGGCGTCATCTGAGGGTACCAACACTTACTGGGTGGAGTGGACAGTGAAGCCTTGAAACAACACCCTAGCTGCTGGCATTCGCAGCGGATTTCAGTGAAAAAAGTGGTGTGAGGATGTATTGCTACCGACGAAATCAAAGAAATCGCAGGTAACTTCAAGGAGGCTAATTGCTGTTTAGCTACTACGGTTTGCATATCAGAAGGCTCATGACGTCGATAGTTTGTGTACGTTGACTGTTTGAGCGCTGTCCGGTGCAATTTGTTGTGGACCCAAGAGCGCAAACATTTGAGGTTTGATGCAGGATTTTTCCTTTATAACTTTTATATTAGCAAGAGGAAGCCACTGCTTGGCAGGATACGTTGGATTCAGGTATTTCGAGTATTCTGTCAGCTGTTTACCTACACGCCGTGGAATTATCCTGTTACTTACGAGATGGAGCTATGCGCATGGTCATTCAGCTCAAAGAAAAGTACAACGAGCTCCAAACTTTCATGCGCGTCCGCAGTCGTGGAACGGAACTGACAGCCTCATGCTCTCACGGCCAAGTAGTGTCTCTGCGTTAATACGAACTATCAACTACGGTGAAAACCACGAGGCAAAAGTTGAGCGAAACTCGCGTCTAAACTAACGAGCTACTGCTGGCGATTAATCGAGTGAACGAGTAATCCTTTAATACACAACTGCTTTGATTGTAACATCAGGACCGTGAATAGAGCGTTTGTGGACTGATTTGGCTTGTCTTCTTTCTTTGACACGGCTGGACGACAGACAGGTTACAAATAGCCTCACCCAGGTAAGATGACGCTGGCCGTAAATTGTCTGCTTGCACAAATGAACTTCAGCCGGCAAACTGTAGCATAAGGTCATTGCTCCTCGGCTAATTACCCAGAGCAATTCACGAGGACTTCGGATATGCTGCGCAATAGAGCTAACCGGAATATGCTCTGAAATCTTAGTAGATAGTCTCCTCTCAGTTCGGCCTAGGTAAACTCTGGAAGCGGTAACATGAGGGTCTGGTTTATCCAGGTTGCATCTGTAGAGTAACTTCCTAAATTGAGGCAGTAACACCAGTTGGACCGCGCAAAATCACTTCCTTTTTGAGGCGACACCGAAATCGGTCATTTTATCCCGCTTAACTGATAATGTGACGAACATATTTTGTCATTGAAGATGTATCGGCTCTGCACGGTTTTCGGGTTCCAGGAGGATGATTTCTACTCCGACTGTTATCCACCTTTTATCTAATAGGATGCCTTAAAACGAATTAATTGCTCGTTTTTCAATGGATAACTTCGGTTTGCCTATTTTCCCTCTATGTGGCTTCGTCATAGAACTCAGAACCAAAGAGAATCATGTTACGAAATTAATCCACTTCCATATGAAGTGCTTATGAATCTTCCGTTCTACTCATTGATTGACACCACTGTCGAATCGTGTGTACAAAAATCTAGTAGTGTTGGTTGTGTAAGCCTGCGCAGAGCAGTTATAAATCTTCCATACAAATCTTCCTATAAACCTTTCAGATCTCATTTTAGTTTATCCTCATGTCGTCATTGCATCGTAATGAGAAACTTTGGCTTGAGTAATGCTGGACCGATCAAGTTGACATACAGACACCGACTGCTCTGTCCATAATGCTGCCTCCTGGCAATCGTGTCGCATAATTTTTGACATTACATAATTTGGTGTCATCTACCAAAAACCTTCTTACTGAACCGGTACGGATTTGTGATGACACGGATTTCTCTAGCTGCCTACTGTGCCACGCTCGTTCTTTACAACTTTTTAGTTCCTTGTTGGGCGGTTTTTACTAACTCTTGACGTTCTGAATGTCTTTGCGTGAAAATCTCTGTTCACCCACTTCCTCCTGCTTTGCACCCATTGAATGGGACTTGGGATTGCTGGTGATGGTTTCCTGGGCGACCGGTTTACCACTGAATTATAGATGAAAAATAATCTTAACGGCACTTCATTTGGAGATTTCATCTTACTACAGAGGAGCAGCATCATTTCGGTAGACTAACGACCAAGCGAGTAGAAGCGAAATGCGTTGACACCATCTTTGAATAGCCTTTCTGATAAACAAACTACCTACGCGTTCAGTGATGCTGTGATCACTATCACCTGTCTTTTTAATAGCTTAATTTTTTTCATTCCTTCAGAAATGTTTGCTTTTGCACGCGCCCCCTCTGTTGCTGCTGCTGAAGTCCCGGTTCCTTCTTATTCGCCGGTTTTTCCTCTGGACGATATGTTGCATAATGGCGATCACTCAGACCATTCAGAACGTCTGTCCGACGAGTCAAGCGCAAGGACTGTCGCTGAGTGCCAACTTGAATCTGCTTCCAGTACAGCGGATTCGGGGGCAATGGCAACCGCCGATCATTGCGCCATGAATGGTAATCATCGCTTTGATCACAATGGTGGCAATCATGGGAGCTAATCAGCGACGAACGGCCGTGCCTGTTAGCCCGGGTTCGACCTCTTCCCTGTACCACAGCTGGTGAGTTCACACCTTATATGGGAAGCACTTTTGAGGCTACACCATTGTTTATTTATTTTCACCCATCTCACTGGACATTGCTTGATAACGTTCCATTTAAAGAGGTTGCACGGTCTTTCGGTTTCGATTACTCTCATTACTGAGTAAGGCGATGGCTGGTTACTCTGACACCTTTCTCGGTTCAGTTAGCTTATGTTCTTTACTAAGCACACGGCCGCACACGTGGGCACTCATCTGAATTGACCGTCTCATAAAGGGTAACAATTTCATGACTTGTTTACTATTTACCACATGGTGCTTGGCATTTCTTTTCCATTTTCGGGTGGAATGAACGTCGTCCTTGTAATCGCAGAATTTGCTTTAAACAGTAATAGTAGTAATAATAATAATCACTTTTCCTCGGATGCGTGGAAGGCTGTTACTGTAATCCGGATAGATAATTATATGCCGTAATGATCATACCATTGCATTAGCAACGTATTGTTTCGGTCATGTGTCTGTGTGTTATTGACACATCATGGGATGCACATGTTTATTGGTGCTTGATTTTTCGTGTTTTCATTCCGTCGCGGAAGAATTCGATGGGCGAGTTCTCAGCTAAAACATGATGACTATCGAGTTGTCACCGAACAGGGTTTCAGATTTTATGCGGATTGCGCTCGTAGGATTGCGTATCCCATGAGGAAGCAATGGGAATAAATGGCGATCCCTTCTTCTTCTCTCAGTCGCTGTGTTACTCTTGTGGCGAAATCGCTGCTGGAGATTAGCTTGCATATTTAATGTAGACTGGTCGGAGTAGATTTTCTGGCATATGGCTTGTGGTCATTCTTCAATGGTCGCAGCCAAGGGTTTCGAGATGAGACTGATTGCCACGCTTCTAGTGGTTTAAAGCAGTCGCTTTGCTAAACAGACGTTTGGTGAAGGATCTTTGTAGGTTTTCTATGCCTTTTCTTTCACTCATTCGGGTGTCCCTATGAATGCCGTGGCAGTGTTAAGAGATTAGACGGGTGAGAGTAAAGGTAGAGCTACACTTGGGCTCATAAAAGTTAGAATTGAGAAAACTGTATTCCGTGATCTCAAGTCGACAGCTCTACGCATTTGCGTTCCTTAGTACGCCTTATTGATCCTTCGAGAATCTACCGTAGGGCATGATGCGTACTGTTACTTGAAAGCGGGTGCATGGATGTGTGTATGCAGCGGGCCTTATCCAATTAGACAATGAATGTCGATGCGATAGCACCGGCATCATTCTTCGGCCCATACCATCTGAATGGTTGTCGATGTTGACACCACTTTACCTTCTGGGTGATTGTCGAACGCCTTTGCGTCGGACTATATTCCATCTGCTGTTCTTGCACTCCCCAAAAGTAATTATGCGCAAACTAGATTAATCTACATAAAACGCATAAGTGTGATTGCTCTTACCCTGATATTACACAGAACTGGAAGGTTTCGGTGTTGCCATCTTCCATCACTCCACTCCACAGCGCGTTTCGTCCTGGTTTGGACTCATCAGGTAAACACCGCCTTCTCTGAGACTTGAACTCAGCACATAATGCTTGGCGGCTATCCTTTTGATCGGTAGGCCATTGAGCTCCGAGAGCGGTGCTTGGCATAGCGGTCCATAATTGAATCTTGGTGTTTTGAAGTACCTTCCTTGTGTTCTGGATTGCAACTCGCTGTCTCAATTGTGGCCTCGGTTGACACAATTGCTCGTAGAGATTAAAGCCGATAGCCGCCAACCACTATGTGCCGAGTATTACTTCCACTACCTTATGGCTTAGGCTATTGAACCAAACGCTTCGAGAGGGGGGGGTGCTCAAGCAAACCTCTAAATCCTCCACTGCGATGTGGGTCAGACTGTGGGGTCAATGGCTAGAGATTGGGCACCTCGAACAAAACCCATCTCTCGGAGAGTATCATCTGCCCTCTCGGCCACGTCGATAATTCTCTGTCTTCTTATTTTTCTCTAAACTCTCTTCCCCGTCTATTGAGCAAGAATCTGCCGCTGACCTTACTGCTTCGGCCATCGATACTCGTAACTCATCCATGTAACCAAGAGTCTCATTTCACATTGGTTCTTTTAACGTCCGCACTCTAGGTTAGATCGGTTAACAGGCATCTCTCTCTCTCTCTTCACTCTCTTAGTATTGATTTGTGCTGTGTCTTCGAAATACGCATACAAGATGAAAGCGTTGTGACGAATCTTCGACCCCCTGGTTCTCAATCTGACGACAGTGACTACCCTCTTCACGTCTCTGGTGATACCGAGTCAATGGATCAAGGTATTTACGGTGTTGGTGTCTCCCTCAGCGGATATGCTGTGGGTAATCCACTCGATTGGGTACCCGTGAACGGTCGCATGTGTGCGATTCGACTTCAAATCTCTATTAGGGTTAATAAGCACCGTAGGAAGACAGAGTACCTTTTCATCGCTTCCGTTCATGCTCCCACTGGCTGCAGTTCGGAGGGTATCACATGTTTTCTACTGCCATCTATTCTTCGCATGGCGAGGAATACTGACATCGGAGTCGATGCATGCCCAACAGACAATGGTGATCGATTCATGCAACTGTGTTCCGACTACAATCTATCTTAGGAGCACTGCTTTCCAGCACAAATTTTCACACTGCGTCCCCTGGAATGGAATTTTTCAATAACTTGGATCAAAATTGACCATATTGCCATCAGCTGCAGGTGGCGCACATCAATCCAAGACTGTCGGTCAATTTGGAGTGCATGCCTTGATTCTGATCACGCTCTAGTGCGCGCACGCTTAACGCTCACTTTTCCTACTTCAAAGAAGTGTCTATCTTCTGACCTTCTTACGTCTAATTTGAACTTGCAGTCTGGTTCAACAACATCATAACGAACTGACCCACCAATTATCAGGGATGAATGAGGTTGGTGAGCCGAACCTTGACTGGAATCGTCTCAAGTGTCCCATGAGGAATATCTTTGACGCTTGCTGTGCACCAGACGTGTGATGTCGTAACTGTGGTTGGGTCTCTGAAGCATCGATCAGTTTGATCGAAGCTTGTAAACACGTTCCGATGATCACTGAATTTCAGCGTATCCGTAACACCCTGAGGCGACGTCGGACAAGGTGTCTTCGAGTTGACCGGGAATGTTCTTGGGTTGCAAAGGTCCGTGAGATGGAGAAAGCCAGCGCTCCTGAAAACACGGGTCGCAGAAAGCTATCAGTTAGCGAGACAATAGCTGAGAAAGTTGGGCCGTTGCTGCATTCTCAGTGTCGTCAACTAGCCCGTGGGGCGAAACATTCTGAGGAGTTCAGTAGGCCTGCTTCGACACTGCCGCTTGGCGAATCACCTGAGCCGGCGTGGGAAGTAGATGTCACACCTCCCACTTTGAAAGCGATTCGACATAAGCTCCCCTTGTTAAAACGAAACAAGACTCCTGGACTCGACGACCTTCCCCCATCTTTGCTGAAAGATGTTGGTGACTCTTTGTTGACTGGACTTGCTTCTCTAATTAACAATATTTATAACAATGATGAGGTGCCTTCAGACTAGTTACTATCAACTGTCGTGCCCATCTTCCAAAACGGTCAGCGTACTTTGTGCGAAAATCACCGAAACATTAGCCCTATTTCCATTGCCTCCAAACTTCTCACGGGTATCGTTCTTCGACGACTTACTGATCCTCGTAAAAACCGAAACACTGAAAGCCAGTCTGGCTTCCGCCCTGGCTGTGGTTGTATCAACCACATATTTACTTCTCGCCAAGTTTTAGTGCAGAGACACATCAGACGACTGACGGTGATGGTTTTCCTTGACTTTAAAGCCGTATGCCACTCTGTTGACCACGTCAGCTTGTCGCACTGTCTATCCATGAAAGGTGTGCCAGCTAAACTTTTCACTCTGAAGTCCCTCTGCCGTGATTCGCAGTGCCATGTAAGGGTCCAAGGGAAACTTTCTCATAAGTTCCCCACGACAAGTGGGGTTCGCCTGGGTTGTCCTATATTTCTTTTTCTCTAACTCTGTGATCGATTTGATCACGAATGCCTCAGTCCTTTCGGACTATTCTGGAGTGGAATTTCTGCCAGGTGACCAACTGACAAACCTGGAGTATGCGGACAACATCGTTCTCCTTGGGTCTGATGCATTGGCTATGCAAGCACGACTGCACAGACTTGTGCATAGCGCTGCACAGTTCAGCATATACTTTGCAGCTTCGAATTGCAAAGTGTTGTTGCAGGACTGGGCCGGAACACCTCCGGTTTTAGCCATTTCCGAAAAGCCACTAGATGTGTTTGATCGGCTCACTTACCTTGGTATCTGTGTCAATTATAATGGTAACATCACTGAAGTGGTTACTTTGCGTATCAGCAAGGCTCTTGTGGCTTTCTATAGGGTCAACGATCTATGGAATGTCAGCTTTTCAGTTAAATCTAGGGTGTATAACGCTGCGACAAGGCCAGTGTTACTATATGGATCAAAGACATGGCCAATTCGCTGTGAAGACATTAAACGCTTGGCCTTGTTTAAGCACCGATGCTTGCAAACTATCGCTCACGTTTGGTGGGAACACCGGGTGAGCAATGCTGAGGTACGCCAGTTGGTTTTTGACAAGAAGCTTTCTGGTGCCTTTCGAGTTTTTGATAAATATTTGTCGCTTGCATTCGCTAGGCCATGTCCTCTGTATGCTTGTTGATCGGCTTCCTCGGTGTGCATTATACGCTGTGGCTGCACCAAGTAGGGTGAAACTTCGAGGTGGCCAGTCCATGATATGGCATAGAAGTTTGAAAAGATTGTGTGAGACTTGGTCAGGCTAGATGGGGGCCCCGGGATGGTCCACACCCATGGTTGGAGATTATCTCAGACATGGCACAGTTACGAAGTTAGTTGTGTTCCTGTATTCGACTTCTTTCATCTGGTTGTTACTTTTCGTTCCACTCTTATTAGTCTAATGTATTTCCTTCTCGCTTCTATTTTTTGTACGTTCTATTCGCACCCAAATCCACTGTCCTGCCGTTGTTATTTATTGTTATCCTTACGATGTGAGTCGTGACAACTGGATCCACCTCACTTCGTGGCTCGGATCATAGTTGATCAACAACAACAGCAAGTCCCAGCTGGGCTATATATACGTGATGAGTCCGACCAAGGACGAAACGCGTCATATAATTCAAAGATGGGAGAGAACCACACCGGAACCCTCCACTTCAGTGACGGTCCTAGTGACTGTATTTGCAGAGGCTGACTTCAAAGTCAACCGAGGCCACGAATAAGATTACGTGTCGTAATCCAAGGCACACGGTGGGTGCTCGAAAACCGCGAAATCATGCTGAACGCTACACTCATCAGCCATCAGCGGTGCAACGGTATCCTGCAGTATTGTTCAACTTCTGTGCAGCGGTGTCTAGGAAGCTGACGAGTGGAAAATATCTGAAATCATACACCATACGTTGTTCCTCCTAACGAACTCGCTTCGCGCAAATGCACTCTACCATTGACAGTGCAAATGCAAGATGCACCTATGAAACGATCTTCACCTGATCTCCACCGCTTATTTTCATTTCCAGCCTGGATCCTCTAACAACCCTTACCAAGCCATATCTTTCGCTCATCTAGGCTTGGCACTATGGGACCACAGCACCGCAATTTTAGTAGGGGCCTGCCGCTTCTCTCTGGAGCCTATAGGTAGCCATGGGCTTAATTGCAAAGTCCTGTCAGTTAGCATTTTGATCGCTTCATTTCTCCCGCGACAATTCACTATCCGATCACCACCATCCTTGTTTTCTCTGCCCTGTGTTTGGAGGCCAAAACTGCGCTTAGTTATCAGACTTGCTATGCAATCTTCCAATCATCCTCAAAGCTTACATTTTATTTAATAATTAAGTGCATTGGACTCATAACCACTTATACTGCCATGTGTGTCACTATTACGAAATGATGTGTGCCATCTGTACTCACTGCTGTTCAGTGTTTGAAGCGCCTTCCTGGTTAGTCCACTGCAGTTTCTTGGCCTTACAAGCTGTCACCCTACGTTTGGTTCTCCAATTTGATCACGATCCTGTTACGGTGCTTAATGTGCAGTGGTTAGGAAAAGCTCTTTCAGGGCGTTCGGTTCGTGAACCAGTTTCAGTCGCTTCGACCGTTTTGACAAGTAAGCTGACCTCTGATTGCTCATCATAAACAGTCAAGTGCACAGCGATTACTAGTGATAGCATGTCTCAGAGAGCCAAAACTGTCCCAGCTAACCTTATATGGGAAGCACTTTTGAGGCTACACCATTGTTTATTTATTTTCACCCATCTCACTGGACATTGCTTGATAACGTTCCATTTAAAGAGGTTGCACGGTCTTTCGGTTTCGATTACTCTCATTACTGAGTAAGACGATGGCTGGTTACTCTGACACTGTATTTCTGGTGAGATCTATGCACGTACCCCATTAGGCCAACATAGTCGAACTAACATGTGTCATACAGTCGACGCTGTGGTTGGGTTGCCAGCGGGACTTACCTTGGCCGCATTGCTTATGCGCCCAACCTGTCCATCTGATGCTGGCAATTTTTTGACTCCTCGTCGAGTTGTTAGAAATTCGTTTACTGATTTTCACCTGCTCCATTGCCCATTGTTTACTTATTATTACATTATCATTGTGACACTGAGCATGGCTGCTACAACTCATGTTGTACTGGCCCTGTCAGCCAGCTGATCGTTTAGTCTGCTATTTTCTTTTGGCGGAGCTGGGGTGACCGCGATCCCGACTGCTTTGAATGGGTGCCACAGTCATTTCTCCGGTGTATAGTTTTCGGTTGCGTTCTACGGCCGTTCATCCTGGGTGCAGCGTCAGCCATTAGGCCCACCACACAGCAGTGCGGACATTATATCTGACCGAACTAACTTGATGTGGATGGGAACATGTGCATTGGAGAAGCATCAGTTACCAACTTTGCTTGTAATCGTGCTTGTTAGCAGAGCACACTATTCCTCCGTGTCCCATGCTGTACTTTCCAGTTGATCTAGTTCGACCCGAATTGGTGTTTGGTTCTGCGGTCCAACCGCATCAGCTTTTTGGCGACCGCTCACCCCGCATTGTTAGACCAATTTCATCACTTCCGAAGATTCGCCCTTCCTAAAATGTATAAAAGAGCATTCCGTAGATAAATAAATAGTTTTATTCTCGGCAGTCCGAGGCACACCTGCAAAGGCATGATCATGATAATAGGAACACCTATAGTCGGCAATTGTACAAAAATGTAAGTTAGCCGGTAATATACCGGAGTAATGCGTATATATATGTACGTGTGCGTGTAAGTGGACAAGGTGAGTGAATTTGTAAATATGACTCTGAATTCCTTGATGTTGTTCGCTGTGTTCACTGTCATAAGAAGGGATCAAAGCAACTCTTCGAACTGGGTGCCGTTCGTTAAGTGGGGAAAATCCTCCGGAAATGGAAGAGACAGTGACGTTATTGAGTGGCGAGTCACATTCGCCACGTCGCAATGTCGTTAAGCGGATCCTCGTTGCTTTTTATAGGGAGAACGCTTGCTAAGCGAAAACCCAGAGCCTCCTGGAGCATAGCCGCCGATATATTCGCTGGAACGGGATTAACCCAAACCACCCAGCTGGTACCACCGTGAGGTTGTTCTGTTAGCCAGCGCTTTATCAATATAGTTCATTTGTGTGACGTTCCATTCAGATGGGATGCGCTATTGACTTGAATATTCCAAGCACGGAGAGTGTCTCCCTTCTGGTTTCAGGGACGTTGTCAGTTTGTTGACGGTCTGTGAAGGAACAGCGGACTAAGCTTGCCCTGAGGCGACACTCAAGTGCACCATTCCCATTGGTCTACGAAAGCAACCTGGAATTCAGTTACCCCGCTTCTATACTGCATGCAACCGCATTGTTTATAAAATCTTCGAACGGTATTTGTTTCCTAACAGCCCTCTGTACAAACTGAATCAGATTAGCCATCGGAATGTCTTTTTCTATAGAAAAATATTTATAACCTTTGTTAGTTCATTCTATTATTATCTTTTTTCCTTGCTGGCCACGACTGGGCTGATCTCCAAAAATGATGGAATGTTGCTCCCAATCGATTCAATACGCCCACGCCAGGCGAAGGACCATAGACTTATTGGCACGTAATAAAGGTGCATGACTTGAAAGAGGTGAATGATGGAACAGGCTAAGGTGACCGATCTTCGTGCACATACCAACTGTCCGACTGATGGGTAACTGCCCTGATGACTTAGTTGCTATGAAACCGCATCGGTATACGACCAGATGAGGTGTGAAGGTGCAGTTGAAAACTGACATGGAGGTAGGTCTCTAGAAGACAGTTCCACGTATAGTTGTCTAATTACTGAAGTTAGAGCGCTAGAGGATATACTTCACCGACATAGTATCGAGCAGCCACACTGATTAACGTCATTGATTATCGCGCTTTGTCAGCATAGTTCAGTTGTGTGTGTATGTCCGATGCAGGTGCGATGCGTTATTGAAATATTTAATCCGCAAACTGGGTGCATGGGAATTTCTTGAATTCCAACACCAATTTTTTCTCGAGTAAACTCTTCCAATATTTCATCACTCAAAGCATAGAGGGTGAGCTATCCGCTTCAGATTCCGCACTACAGACTTGTATCGGTGCCTGCGAGTGCTGCTTGATGTGCACCCGTGCAAAAGCTCTCAGCACATAGCTAAAAGATACCTGGATGCAATATTCTATGCGTGGTTATGAGATCATCTGGAAACCGTAAACTAGTGTACATGTTTACTTATTATTGCTGTCAACTTCTCCGCCTTTCTAATGCACTTTAAATAACTCGATTAATTGTCTGTCTTGTGCGATGCCGTTGCACGAATTGTTCAGACTACCTGCTGGATTACACGTTGTCGAGAAGCATACAACCTATTTATTTGTTTAATTTCCGACTGTACAGTCAACATTTGAGTGCTTCAATGCTATAAATCCTTACAGCTAGAAGTCAAGCTTCATATTATGACAATAACTTACACACTCTTGGCAGCTAGTTCTCACCTGGCCTTTCGGCTTCCTGCTCACAGTTTCGAAGCATACGTTACTTGCTTGTCGTTTGAGGTTCTCTTGGGCCTCACCACACAAGTGTTGTACGTGACTCCTCTTTTGACCTCTTCACCAGCGATGGTCGAGCAGCTTCTCACATAGGCATTGACCACTAACATTCCTCTAATCGAATGCCTTCATGCAGTTCTTCTATGTTTTTTTAAACTTGTGTCCCCACGTTGTTTCCAATGTTTCTTTGTGTTTCCCTCAGGATTGTGTACATGTATGCGGGACGATGCTGGACCTCATTCACTCAATCATCGATCTCAACGCGGTTTTCTCTTTTCCCTTCCGGTTTGAATACCAAAACCGTTTGTACAGCACTTGCGTTGAGGCTTGTCTAATCCTTTCCGTACTCTTCTCAACTTCTTACGCAAAATTGTTTGGTGCTCACTTCTCCCTGTCTTCCAACCTATTTTAGGTTTGCATCCGTGATAATTCTAGCATCTTTGTCGGTGACATACCCCGTTCTAACCATGAACATCACACTACACAGCCCCGATTGTTCTTCCATTTTTGAGCCTTGACTTTGATCCGCATAGTCGCTTTTCATCGCGGTTGCGGTGTCGCTCCACTCTCACTGGTGCTCTTAGCCTCCATAGGTCTTAGTGCTTTCAGTGTTTTGGACCAACCATCTTCCAACGCCTACTTTCCCTTGCATTTATTGTCACCTTCATTCGCAACATTGCACACCTATAGAGCGATCCATGATTTTCTTGTTTGCCCATCATTTCATTGGTTTATACCTCATTGACTTCATTTTCTCTGCTGTGCTCACACGGAACTTTAACATGGTTTTGTTGCTTGAAATGACGGATTGTCCTTCCCCTGTTCCTTCTTTTGTGGTAGGCATCACGCGTCGTTCGGTTGTTTGTCATGTTTTTTGTTCTTCCTTACTTGATATTTGTGCCCCGAAGGCTACCACACATTCTACTTTCAGGACCGTGCCGTCTATGTTGTCCGACTGCATACACTGAACTACTGTTCTCTCGCAGCATCGTCTATTCTTCCATGTATATTATTGGGTTGTGTTCGTAGAACCTGTACCAACATGCATCCGCGCAATACGAGCAGTTTGCACGTGCAACTCGCTCTGGAATTGCCCACTATCAACACTTTCTACACAAACACCCACAACTTTTTACTGATGATGTCACTCCGACCGATGTTGGACGTCCAATTCAACGGTCACATTTCACTCAGCTGAACTAACTTCCGAAATGATTATGGAGTAGCTTAGCGTTTTCAATCGTTTTGGTGTTGCATAGGCGGATCGCCAGCCTCTTACAATCCATGGTAGAATCTGCACGGTTCGCGTCGCAGTGACTGTTTGTCTAATCCCCACGATCCGGTCCATTCGCCCTAAATAGCCGCTCTCATCACATCCTCACCCATCCGTCTTCGACCTGTTAAACACTGCTTCGTCCCCGCGGCCACATTATCGGTGATGCTCCTTCCGTTTTCGCCCAGTAAATCTCTTTTCAAGTTCACTGTTTTGTTTTTACCGTACCCAGCTTCTTTTGATTACCTTCCTTCCTATCTCTCATTAGGGTGTTGATTTTCTTCACAACTCCCACCGCATTGCCAGCTTAGGAAGTAGAAATCCGCAACCGTACTGTCATCGTCTGTTTCCGTGAAAGTCTTCACGGTTTCTCCTGATTCAGCGATCTCGTCCACGTGACATTGGACTTCTCGTCCTTTTCAGTTGCTCATTTGGTCGCCAAGCTGCGAAATTGGTTTGCAAACGTTTCACCGTCATGCGAGACGGCATCATCAGTGCGTCGAGATGTGGAGTGTAATCTCGCTGATTGAATTGTCGACCCATGATCGGCGTGCAGGTGACATTTCCTTTTGCTTTACAGCACTACGGTGGGCTTACGCCCATACTAAATGGATTGTTGCATCACTGTAGATAAGACGGTGGTCTTACGAGTGGCTCCTGTTTTTGATGGCAACCGCTGGGCTTGTCTAGCTGCAGTTGCAGATTCTCCGTTTATTGCAGTGCCAGTCTGATAAGATTCCCAGAACAAATGTTTGCGCACAAGCTCGTTTTCAGTGGTTCATCATCATTACTTGCTAGTGTATGACATTTTTCTACGTGGTACATAAGATGGGACACATCGTGCGCTTTGACCTTGTGGTTTGAATCAACCGAATGCGCGGATGCTGCGTTGGCCATTGTTATAGTAACTTTGCTATACAGCTAAACTGAGCAATGCTCCCGGGATCTCGCACGGTCTTCTGGCAGTCCTTTTGATATATCTTGATAGACAAGATCAATGGAACAGTGGTTTAAAACGGGTAAAAAAGAGCATGGGCTTAACCTTTGCTGTATATTGGTAATAGACGAAATTGTAATCTCACATAAGTAGGCCAAATAAAATACGCATGCGTAAAGCGATGGAGTAATTGCACTAAGAGGATGGTTGTGGGAGTGAGACAGTACAAAGCCAAATAAAAGAAGCTGTGCTGTATCAAGAAAGCCGCAGAACAGGTAAAAATGTATCTCGTAAAATAACCAAGTACAACTGAGTCTCAATCCCTCGTTAAACAGAGAGTCAGACGACAGACACACGACCAATGGTAAGGTAGGAATAAGTCAGCAAGCCAACCAATAAGGTTGAGCCAATCCATCTTGTTCACATGGTTACCACATCATCGTTCCCCCCTCCGAAACGCCGCCTCAACCTGGTTCGTAGCGATCAATAAGTTTCACCGTTCTTCCGAATCGACGCAGTTGACGTCGTGGTAATGGTAACTCAGCCGAGTCTTCGCGCGCAGATCGGTCGGGCTGATTAGCTGGTCCGTGAGCTATGTGGAGTCGACGCGCGTTGATAATTAGGCCGTTCTCCAATCCATAGGTGTCCGGGCCAAGCGTATGGTCGATGCGCACTGGAACGGAAAGCGAGAGTGTACCTTTCTTTGTCACCCTGCTTTTGACGCGAACTTATGTGCCGGGCTGCATTGGTATCCTTGCTTTAGCGTAGGAATTTTGGTAAGATGCTATGCGATTTGAAACTTCGGCATCTCTCGCTGATAAAATGTTATGTGCAGCATTTAATTTGTGCGTAAGGGCCTTCCTAGCATCAGCTCCGCTGGCGTTCTTCCGTGGCTCTGTGGTCACATGTTCTGTAGGAAAATACCGCGGTTAAAACTGCATCCTCCCAGTCCGAACCTCCTATGTGTATGGCTTGTATAGCTTCTTTTAGAGACCGGTTTAAACGCTTGACCATGCCGTTGGCTGCAGGATTGAAGGGCGCAGTTATAGAGTGCTTAATGTTATGGCAACGTAGAAAATCTGCGAATTCACTGATACAAAATTGTGGTCCGTTATCCGTTACTATTTCATGCAGTAAACCGAAACGGCTGAACAAGTGTTTAAGTCAATGTAACACAACCGAAGTAGTAACTTGGTCGCACATGTGTAATTCAGGCCATCTACTGTAACAGCATGTAGATTTCGCTTATTCGTAGGAGCAGTAGCGAAAGGGCCCATTATATCGCTGGCGATTTTGGTCCATGGTTTCATCGGGTAAGCAATTGGCTGTGTCGGGGCTTTAACGGGCTAAGAACTTTTGTCCGCTAATCGGCAAGCATTGCAATTGACCACAAATGTCTCAATGCTAGATGCCATTCGTGGCCACCACGTAGGCTATCTTGCTGCGAAGTAGCGCAATTTCCTAGTATTTAGAGTCAGATCGGCCTAACGACTGGGAGCAAACATGAGATTCGGTTTTCATCGGTGAGAATACGTCACCGGAGCCACTGGTCGTCTGCTGCGGAAGACGTTCGAACGCAGCGTCTGCCTTGGTAGCTAAGTCTTTCAGTGATGTATCTATAAACATGGACAGCATTACCAGCAATGGCTCTGGGAGACGTGCAAACCACAGCTCCTTTATCACTTCTTCGCTCAAGAATAAGGGGCCAGCGATGCGCTGAAGTTCGCGGAGCAATGCCGACGGCTTGCGATCTCCAGGCTTGAGAGCATTAAGCTTCTCAAATCGAGTTCGTGTGCTGGGTCGTAACTCTTTTAAAATCGCTTGCTTCATCGTTTCATACTTTGCCTCATTCGATGGGCAGAGTAGGATGTCCTCAATCAGCGTCACAACCGACGGAGGAAGGCGTGGGACGAGCTGATTGTACCTCGGACGGTCCGCCGTAATGCCCTTATCTTCCAGTTCGATCTCGAATATCGTAAACCAAACCTCTGGGTTGTGTTCCATGAAACTTGGAACAGCCAAAGTAAACATATTTACGCCGTGAAACGACTCAGATGCCAATCTCGAAATGTGAGTTGAAAGATAAAGAATGAACAAAATACGATAAAAGTACTAACATTGCCCAAGAAACAAATGAATACAGGTATATAATCGAGAAAAAGGAACGAACTCACCAAAAAATACAACCGAAGAAAACAAACGTGGAATTCGCGCGTGCGAATCGGGGTCATCAATTTGTAGGACTAGTTGATACTAGTCCGAGACGATGCGCAAAATTAAGCGCGGATATCAGAAGGCAATTGTAGTCAGACACAGCGGGCTGTATTCGATGGGCTACAATAAGAAGCGGACGGATCAATGGAACAATGGTATATGACGGGTAAAAAAGCATACGCTTAACGAGTCCCGCAGGTTGACAATGGAAATACTAACAGATTGGCAAACCACATAAGTGGTTGAAGTAAGAAGCGTCAGTGAGATAAAAGGTAGAAGTATAACAGTTTTAGGGGGATAAAGTGGCACGACGCAAAACTGGCTAAGAAATTGTTATTGTTGGTGATGGTAGCAAATAACAATGGAGTACTCACCGGTTCGCACAGATTTACGACCGTGAATTTGGGGTATAAATCCAAAGAGGCTGGTCAGTCTAAATATATACAAGCGTTTTCGTTCATAAAACAAAGCGCAGGGCGCTCAATGAGACGTCCAATCGTTTTTTAAACGTATCTAATGTCGGGGCACAAACCACTGAGTTTGGAAGGGCGTTCCAGGGCCCGCAGACCCGGAGGGAGAAATAGGTTCTCCGACAGTCTAGACGACTGTATTGTTGGCTCAGCTTTAAACTGTTACCGCGAAGGTTAGTGTTCGGGCTGAGCTTCAAGAGGTGGCGGCATACGTGACTGGGATCGCTCAATATCTGGTACACTAGTATGAGGTCTCCACGAAGTCGCCGGTACCGTCCGCTGAACACTCCGAGTATCTCCAGTCGTTCCTGGTAAGGAGTGTGGCGCAAGCCCTTGACTATTTTCGTTGCTCGACGCTGTGGGGTCTCAAGCGCTGCAAGGTCACGTTTTAGCCAGGGTTGCCAGGCCTGGATTGCATATTCGACGTGAGGACGCACGTAGGCATTCAGCATCAAAGAGAAGATGGATGGATCCAAAATTCCGAATGCTCTTCGCAGGAGTCCAACGTGCTGGTTGCCCCTTTTAGAAGCGGAATCTGACTGTTTGGAACACCCGAGGTCTTCCTGTACCAGCACACCCAAGTCGCGTTCCTCAGTGGTGGTCTTCAGATCGTGTGCCCCAAGCTTGTAGACGTGGACTTGTCGATGGCGGATATGAACAACGTGACATTTGTTCACATTAAGCGGCAGGGCGTTTCTCACCGACCAATTCCAGGCCTCATTCAAGTCACGCTGTAGGACTTCATGGTCGTCCGATCGTTTTATCGCCCGCCAAACCTTGAGGTCGTCCGCGTAGAGTAAGAATTTCGACGTAATAACTCTTACTAGATCGTTAATGAAAAGCAGGAACAAACGAGGCCCAAGTACCGAACCCTGCGGTACGCCGCATCCCACTCGAATCGGATCGGAAAAGGATGATCGAACTCTAACTTCTAACTGCCGTTCAGAGAGAAACTTACCGATCCATCCTAACAACGGGTCTCCGATACCGTACTGTTGGAGTTTAATGAGCAGGATTCGATGATCCAGGCGATCGAAGGCTTTCGAAAAGTCCAAGAATGCAACATCGACTCCTGTTCCCTCATCGACAGTCTCGGTCCAGTTGTCACGAGCTATCAGCAGATTCGTCGTACATGAACGATGTTGACGAAACCCATGCTGTTCTGGCGCAATTATGCCGTAGTTTTCCAAGTATCCCATTAACGCATCTGTTATCACCGCTTCCATGACTTTGGCGATCACAGGCAGAAGCGTTACGGGGCGGTAATTGGCAGGATCCGATCGACTTCCTGC